TCTTTTCTCTTTAGCTCGAGAACATTCTGAGAGGACCAACGCTGGCGCTGATTTAACCCTTTTTGTGTGCATTCACCGAAGACCATGCAGAAGAACAACTTGTTATGTAGAAGAAAGAACAAGGGAGGTCGAAGTAAAGAAAGATAAGAAATAGAATTTGTTTTTACTTGCAAAGTTCTGAACAGAGCTGCTACTACAGCGGGGGTTGAAAAAAGAACTGAGGGCTAGGTGCCAGGGGCGAAGTTATATAGCCAGGTGTAGTGGATGTCCGGGCACCAAGTGCTTAAAGCTGTGGAAGTTTCTGAGGATACTCTATTTGAGTGCAGATTAACCCACTAATGTGTATTAACAGGGACCACAAAGGAGAACTCTGTGTTCTGGTGTAGTGTGTGTTTTATTTTATTTCAATATCTTGCTGTCACTTTCCTATGGAAATATATACATTACTATACATCATGGTTAAATGTATTAGGGGTATCAGGTAAATCTGGAGGGGTTAAGGCATGCAGAAATGTATATGAGGAAGATTCCCAGGACTTTGTTTAAAATTCAAACTCCCAGAATTCCCATGGTGGCTCAGGAATTGTGGAAGCTGCAGCCCATAAAGGGTATGTTCAAGCTATCATAGAGAAGTGACTGACCTCTTTCAGTCTTTCTAAACACTATCTTATAATTACCCCATGCAGGCAACACTGAAATCACCATAACAGCTAGAGCTGTTTTCACCATCCCACACACATCAGGCAGTGGCTAGACTGTGGAGCAAGAGTGGGAAGCCTCAAACTCTGTAAGTATCTTGTTTCCTACCAGACCTTCTGGCAGAAGATGGCTGGTCAAAGCAGGAACCAAAGGAAGAATGGCTGAGCTAGAGTAGGAGACCAGCAGCTGGCACGGCCATTACAGGGCCAGCAGGATCCCATGCAGTTGCTCTCAAATTAGGTTTGATACAACCCTGGTGAATAGTGGGAAGGATGGAAACATGTGGAATATCCTCCCATGTGGGAGTGAGCTATCCCCCAGAGAATCCCAGCCTGTTGCTGCTTTGCTGTAAACACTTGCTCTGGAAATGAATTCATTGAGAGGCCAACATCAGAGAAACAGAAAGGGAGCATCTGATAGTGGTACCATTCTTCCCTAAGAACAGACCAATGGTATTTTCAATGGAAAGAATGAATGTCAATGTGAAGGATGAATGGCTATATGAAAATCCTTCTTGTTCACAGTTGTGAACTAGTTATCCCCCATGAGAAAGGGAAGATCAGCCAGTCACCGTATGAAAATGTTTTAGTAATGGAAGTCCTGACATTCCAGAACTATGCAACAGATTGGCAAGCTCCATACTTCTTCACTATTGTACCAGTAGTAACCAGTGTGCCGGAGGTGGTGAGGAACTACTCCAATTGTACCATTACTAAGGAGAGTATTGATTGTGGATGGTGGTGTCAAAGCATTAGTGGATGATAATCAAACTCTGATAGTCTCTTTGCAAGGACCCATCAATTGGCAATGGTGGTGTTCCAGTCTTGTTGAAGTTAAGTGAGCTTCATACTTAAGATAATAAGCTAATTAGTGAGGCAGGAGGAATTATCATCTTGAATACTTTTGGTATCTGGAAAGACCTGTGAAGATTCTCAGTCATCTGTGTCATGGCAACTGGACTTTTTTCTTGTTAGGTAGAAATGTTTTGCTACTCATCCAAGCAGCTTCTTCATTCTGGAAAGATGTTTGCAGTATTGATGAAGATGCTAAAAGAAATATGATAGTCAAAACTGATGTTTGTTTTCAACAAGTTTGTCTTTAGAAACTGAAGATGGAGACTTCTTGGGCTGATGTGAGAAGGAAAACTGTTTTATGGAGAACTGCTGAGGTCTGGAGGAACTGGTACCAGCAGGCAGTAATGATTAAATCTGTTGCTTGTCCCAGGCAAACTGTTGATGTTGTGAAGTAGAGTGCAGGATTCTTATACACTTGGCTGTAGTGACCAGTTTAGGATTGAAATCAAACTTAATCTGTTTTAGCCAAGAGGACTTTGCTGTTCAAGAACATATCTGCTACTTTCCTTGCAATTTTGTGACAGACAGCAGACCAGAGACAAGAATGGAGGCACATGTTTAACTGGCCCCATGAGAGCTTTAGCAGAATATTCATGCTCAGAGTGAGCTGTGTTAACCAGTTGCCATGTCACATTCCCTGCCTCTTTAAAGAATGCTGCAAGAGGCTTTTTTGCCTTCCAATGGGTAGATAAAATGAAAGCAGCCATTTTGTCCCCTAGGAACAGTTGTTATTGCCCCAAGTAAGCTTGTTGACTAGCAGTATTTAGAACTACTGTTACCCTGGAATAAGTCTTCTGAGCAAGTAGGTCCAGGCACACACTTTATCTGGGACAACAGATGACGTTTTCTTATCCATAGAAGAAGCCACAATTAAGAGAGTTCAGAGCTGGGCATCGAGCAAAGAGCTTGCAACATTCCGCATGTATCCTGTAAAGCAGTGGTCCCCATCCTTGGGCCTCCAGATGTTCTTGGACTTCAACTCCCAGAAATCCTGGCCAGCAGAGGTGGTAGGGAAGGCTTCTGGGAGCTGTAGTCCAAGAACATATAGAGGCCCAAGGCTGGGGACCACTGCTGTAAAGGTTGTCTAATCAGCATGAGGAAACCAGCATTAATTATGGCTTATACTACACTGTTTTCAGTCTTCATGAGGGAAGAGAGCATAGAAAGAGCCACTGTTGTTTCAAATATGCACTATGGAAAGGATCTTCTTCCAGGGGTTCCTGCCAGCAATAAAGTATGTTCAGATATTTAGATAAACAGATAAGTAAATCTGAATGCAAAGAGACCACCTCCAAAGGAGACAGAGGAGCTGCAGAAATCACTAGTTCATCTGATGATGATGTACTTGGGTTGAATATGCAAGTAACCATATTGAGCCACCATCTGATTTAATGCTGGAATGTGAGATAAAGGTTGTTTTACTAATATCCGCCTTCCTTGGGACATACGGAACATGAGTTGTTACAGGAGAAAATATCAGTGCAACTGATGTACTGGGAACCACTTGACTTATCAATGATTTAATTGTTAGTTGAAGGACAGTACAGACAGGAATTTAAGTAGGTATAGTGGATGGCACTAAAAATAAATGTTGGGGAGGATGTTGTCGGTGTTGTATCAGATGTTGTAACTGTGAAGGTATATGGAAGCAATGGGAGGATTGACATCTGAATGCAAGGAGATAGTACTGCAGCTGTTGCAACTGTTCAAGGGGTACGTAATGGCAGTTTGTGCTGAATGATACCAACATGTTACCTTGCAGTGCAGTGGCCATGAGGAGATCAACTGTATGACCATCTATAATAATTATGACATGATTAATGTTGGTATCACTAGGGAGTCAGTGACTAGCATCAATGGTAAATATGCAGAGATTCGGACCAGGACAGGTATGAATTGTGAACTCATACAATTGTTCTACTTTGAATCTTTTGATCCTCAGTCTAGCAGACATTCTCAATAGGGGGCCTGGCACATTTGAAGGGAGCCATGGATTGGAAAAAATTCTTCACATATCACCTTAAAAGGTTTGTTATTCAACTTATACAATCCTGATTCAGACTATATTTCTTTCATATTGTGTTTATGGTTGTGGCAAAAAAAGAGGTTGAAAACAATTGCTCTAGAGCAGTGTTCTCAAACTAGAGGCCCCAGATGTCCTTGGATTGCAATTCTCAGAAGCCTTCACCACTGCTCTAAAGGTAATGTGATTGCTGGAGGGTAAATAGACTGGCATGTTTTATAGAAGGCATTGCCAGGACCAAACCAACACACTGTGATGCATATCTCTGGGCTGGAACTCCACTGCTGTCTCCCCCACTTTCACCTTCTGTTATAGACCCCTGATCCTGAAGGCTTCTGTAGGTGATTCCTCAGAAATAATCAGAAATTATGTGCACCTCCTTGACATGAAACAAGTTCACAGTGGCAAGTTTTTTTCCTTTTAATTTTTAAGTGGCTCATGTTTCTCGGGGATAGAATCTGATTCTGTCTATAGCATTAAGAAGGAGCAGTTGCATATTTGCTTTGTTAATGCTAACTTAGAATTTAATCAATGATCAAAAGCATTCAATGAAAACATATTTGATCAGGTAGTCTACTTTTTAGTTTCAAGAGAGGCAGCCATGTCAGTCTTTCTCAGCAAAAACAAAATCAAAAGTATCATGCACCTTGGAGAATAGCAAGCTAGTAACAATAACAATAATCTTCAAACTATGGAGCTGGAAGGGAGTCCTTGTCAAGGAGGCACAGTGAGGAATTGAACTCCCAACCGCTGCCTCTGCAGCCAGATACCTAAATCACTGGTTCCAGGTTGAGCTTTTTTGGACTACAGTTCACTTCTTCTGAGTGTGTGTCTGAAGTAGATTGCAATCCATGGCAGCTCCCACTGAGAACAAATTTGTTGTCTTAAAAAGTGCTACAATATTTCTGCTTTTGTTGTTTTAGACAGATTGACACATTTTGTGCTACCACTACGGAAGGATGTTTATTTGCATGTTGTTGGTTGGAAGTGACAGTACTGTATACTGTACTATCAACATGATCTATCGTAATATTGACTCTGTGTAATGTTTTCCTCAGTATAATTGCTGATCTCAAAAAAAAAAAAAAAACCATAGATACTATCTGGAATTACTAATATTTGAGTTGTTAACTATACATTCACAGTCAGGATATATTTATAGAAATGATGAGTCATATTTAATTTTCTGTGTTTTGTTCATTACCCCTTCAGCCAAGTTACCATTAGATGTGTTTGTTATCACTGGACAAAGCTTTCACCTTCAGCAAAAAGGAAGAACTGGGGGAAACTCGCATCTCGCTGCTCCTTCCACAGGAATGTCCTATGAACAGAAGTCTAATCATGCAAACAGATTCAAATGATAGTTATATATACAGTAAACATTTTACTTGCAGAATTCTTACATACTTGAAAAGCCAACAGCATTACCATTGGGCAGTGGTGTCACTTTTATTTCAAAGGAAGCTGGTTAAAATCAATTATGCAGTAATAACATTCTTGCATTAGTCTGTTTTTTTAAAAACAAAAATACATAATCAAAGAACAGTGTTGGAGGAAATTATAATTGCCTTTTGCTTCCCATAACAAATCTTAAAAATTATTCCTCCTACATCAGTTCTCTTCACCTATCACTCATCCACAGGACCATCAGTGCTTTGATGCTAAGAGGGCTGCAGTGCATTCATAACAGCTTTTCACCTTAACTGACATTTAGTTAGCAAAACATACACAATTCAAACAGACACAAACAAACACCCACACCTTATTTCCACCTATGTGCTCCTCCACAACAATTATCTTAAATTTACCAGCTCCCTCCCTAAAGTATACACTGCCTTGATTACATAAAACAATTCCAGCATTGTTTTTAGTTTTCAGCTCAATATTCTATGGTGTTAAGAGAATGTAATATCTTAAATAAGAATCATTCTGACCAAATGGGGATGGAAATCGGGATTCTAGGCAGTCTCCTCTTGGGCTCCTTAAATTAAGTGTTGGCAGTGCACAGTTTGAGGGTCATATCAAGCTTTGTCCTTATAGTTAAGAGAAGCCTCATGTTGCTCCCATGCAGCAATTAATATTGGGGGGAATGTAATTAGAAGTAGGTCACAGTGGAATATTGAATGCAGTTTGCAGGTTGTACATGGCCTTCTACCGAATCTTGAATGAGGTTTCTTAAAGATCCCTATTTTCATATATCTTACTGTCATTTTAATAGATTGTGTTAAGATTAGATTAATAATTATTTCACATGCCCATTGCACACACATAGCAAACATCCACTCCATACTATTATAAATACATTTGCAATTGCAACAAACAAACCTAACTCTCTGAGGGGGTGACCTTCTTTAAAGACATCATTTAAATGAATTCCTATAGAAACAGTACCGTTTAGCGTTCTCATCTATAAGGAATTCACATGGATTTCAAAAAGTGGAAGAAAAAAATGGCAGAAATAAACCCCAGTGCATTCAGTATAGCTTACTGCCAGCTATATGGGGAAGAGATTGTAGCCTGAGTTACAAGCTGTCTGTTTGCTTTCAACACTTCTAGAATGTGTTTTTTTCCCCTTCAAGCAGCACCTACAGAAATAATTTGGTCAATGTCTAATAATTTAGACATCTCTTGCAAGAATAAAACAAGTTATTACATTTTAGTATACTTACAATTCTGATCATATTAAATAGAACTGATCTCAAAGCCATTAAAAGACCAGTTCATTAATTTTCTTTTAAGTTGAAAAACAAGGTTCAAGAATGTATTAACAAGAATTTACTCCCTCCTATTAAGAGCAAACCTTTGGTCCAGATACTGCAGAGTAGTGGGACAAGTTTTTAACTTTAACAGCTACTTCTGAATAGCAATATATTGGGTAAGACCAAGGTTTCCCAAGCTCAATATCGTACTTGGCTCAGCACCTTGTTTTATTTTTTATGAAGAGGGAGACTGAGGCTGTTTTGAAAAGCTTGTAATGATAGCTTGTTTGGCCTATCAAACAAGCTTACAAGACTGTGGCCCAAGGCCACTCATTTTCACAATAAACTGTACCAACATCACATTAATTTTTTCCTAAACATTTTCTCATTCAAGAGTCAGTTCTCATTAGCACGTGTCAAACCTGAGATTACCACAATACAGTGCTGGTTTGGATGATTATGCCATTGATGAAGACCAATATTATTAAGATAGAATTTCACTTGTAAAATTAAAAACTAAATAGTCCACCAAAACCCTTGAAGCAATGTTTAAAAAGTTCATAAAAGAAGCTTTTAAGAAATGCTGGCTTATGTTCACCTGATTCTTTTCAATGGATACCTATAAGAGTTCTAAGACTAATTTTACCTAACATTGGCAGGATTTTTAGATATGAGCATACATACATGCTCCTCTACATTTCAATCAGTCAAAAGCTCACCCAACACAACTGTCAAGGATCTTTGTGCATACTTTAGAAATCCTGAAGGAAAGAATGAATTATGCTAGTCAGTTTTTTTAAAAAGCAGGGTTGTTTTTTGCAAACACAGTAGGTCCACAGATATTATTCTGAACATTTAAATAAAATGATATATTCTGCTACAACCAGAACAAGATATTCTTTGACTGCATTACGTTCTTCATGTAAACAGCATAATAAGAACTGAATTAATTTCTAAGCAAGGGCAGTTTAGTATGAACTGTAACAGAGTTAACCAATGGCAGCAATAAGAGATCCTACTGCCAGCTTGACCTTTGTAAAGTTAAAAACCAATCCAACAAAATTTTTATCCCTTAAACTTAACATATAGTAATTCCTTTTGGCAGTGATGTCATTTTTTTCCAATTTTTTTCCTCTCCACCTGGATATTAAATAATAATTGGATGCCATCCAGCCAATTCTAACTTATGGCAACTCTCTTCAAGGTTTTCTAGGTAAATAGTTCTCAGAAGTGGTTTACCATTCCCCGCATATTTCAGATTGACAGTAGTTCACTGTCTGTAACTGAACAATACCATGTTCAATAGATTTTGACATTTTCCTCTCTGGACTGGTCACAAATATCTGATCCAGATTTTGAAAATATGGCTTTCCTGCACAGATGAAGCCAACTGTCTAAACAGTTAGAAAAAGGAAGGCACATATTAATTGCAGAGAACCATGATCTATCAATTTCATTTCTATAGTCTGTTCAAACCAGGTGACAGGAGAATTCATCTTGTTCGTTTAGATGAAAGAAGCCATTGCTGAGGTTGGGAGGTCTGTGGTGCTATGGGGGGGGAGTTAGTAAGTTTTTCCCCCTACATGGTTGCCTCAGATTAACAGCCCTCCCCACAGAGTTGCTGTTTGCTTTGTGGAATAATACATACAGTCACTGTATGTACATAACAAATAGCTGAGAGGAGATTTTGAATAAGAAATAGCATAGAGAGGAAATCATTAATATCCATCAGATCTACTGTGATATAAAACTAATAAATATATGGGAGATCCTGGGTATAGTTCTCCCACATAATATCTGGTATAGATTTTATTTTCCACCAACAATTTCTAGTGCTTTATGAAAACAGGGCCAACATCGAAAATGGATTTTTAACCCCATATTAGTATAGGAAGTGAGAAATTAATGTAACTTGGAAGTGTAAAGCTGGTAGATATACAAGACTCAAAACATATCCATGAAAGAATAGGAACCAATTTAGAATCTGTCAGAGAGGAGGTGAATTGGGTTTCTTTAATAAGCATGGTACCGCCAGCTTAAATATTTGAGAAAGGACTGCTGACAGTAGGGATTTTTTAAAAAATTCTGAGTTCATGATCTCCAGTGAGGGCTATCACAGTTATAAAATCCTTTACACTGCTCATACACAACTAGTATAAGGATGAGAATGTTAAACTTGCTCAATCCTCTGAAAGAGTTTGCATCTCTTCTATTTCTCTGTTGCTTTCTGCATCCTGGAAAAAGAAAGGAAAAGGTAAAGAGTAATTGGTATGACTAGATGGGCGGGCTATAAATGTAACAAATAAATAAATATATAAATAAATGTATTGCTAATGATACAATCTTGCTGATCAGCACTCTTTTCTAGCTTTGTAACAGCAAAACCAAAACAAAAAGGAAAACATGAATGGTTAGATTATTCCACTTCCTTTTCCAAACTGTTTATATTGTCTAAAAAGGGAGGCCTCTATCTTCTTTAATCATCTCCATATACAGTGGTGCCTCGCTTAACAATGTTAATTGGTTCCAAAAAAACCATCGTTATGAGAAAACATTGTTAAGCGAAACACCATTTCCCATAGGAATGCATTGAAAACCGGTTAATCCGTTCCAATGGGAACGGATTACCATCCTTAAGCGAAAATCCCCATAGGAAACATCGCTAAGTGAAACAATGTTTCCCCCAACATAAAGCCATTCAAAAGCATTGCAGCCGGCTGCAATGCTTTTGAATGGCTTTCCGATCTCCATTTTCGCTCATTTCTAAGTGTCTTAAAATGTTTGAAACCTGTTTTAAATGCTTGGAATCGGTAGTGCACCTTGTAAAACCTATGCAAACTTAACTACCGATTCCAAGCATTTAAAACAGGTTTCAAACATTTTAGGACACTTAAAAATGAGCGAAAACGGACATCGTTAAGTGAAAATCCCCCATAGAGAACATTGTTAAATGATGCGGAAAATTCCTCCAAGAAACACATCGTTAAGTGAATTCTTCGTTAAATGAAGCAATCGCTAAGCGAGGCACCACTGTATCTGTTCAAAGCACTGCGGTTGTTGTTAAGTAACAGTTTCTACCATTCTGATCTGGCTGCTGTCCTTTTCTACTAGCATTATATACTCTTTCTTTTAATTCCTTCAACCTTTTTTCTCTTTCAAGTGGAGAAGACATCCTGTTTGTTATCATCCTAAAATCTTTCCACAGTGGTGCCTCGGCTTACGAATGTCCTTACTTATGAACATTTCGACTTATGAACAGCTCCGGTCGCAACATTTTGCTTCGACTTGTGAATGGAGCTTCCACCCACAAACAGAAAAAAGGCAGGGGGAAAGGCGGGCAATTCAGATTTCTAACTGTAGGTGGTGAAGAGGCTGCTTTGTACTGTAGCTCTTTCACTTTTGGCAGTTAGAGAGTGTGTCATCGTCTTGGGAGAGCCTCTTTCTGCTTCGGGGTATGTGCGTCTGTGTGTGTGTCTGTCTGCAGGGAGGTAAGCTGCTGTTTTCTCCTTTTTAAAAACTGTTCTGGGTGGGTTTTGGCTGGGGCACGTATGTTTCTGTGCTGTGTTGCTAGTGGCTTTGCTGTTTATTTTTGGAGTTTTTTTTTCTTCTTAAACCTCAGCAACGGAAGTGGCTTCACTTTTTGTTTATGGAGTTTCTTCTTCTTCTTAAATATCAGCAAAGGAGGTGGCTTTAGTGTTTGTTTTTGGAGTTTTTTCTTCTTCTTAAACCTCAGCAACCGAGCGCCTTCCGTCTGGGCTTAGTGTGTTCTTTTTAATTTTGGGGTGATTTTTTTTCTTCAGCTGGAACGGATTAATCGGTTTTAAATTCATTCCTATGAGAAATGGTGCTTCGACTTACAAACATTTTGACTTAAGAAAGAATGGATTAATCGGTTTTCAATGCATTCCTATGGGAAATGGTGCTTCGATTTACGCACATTCTGACTTACGAACACCATTTCAATACAGATTAAGTTCGTAAGTTGAGGCACCACTGTATTTGGTGGGAGGAAAGGCGTTGGGAAGGGGTGGAGAAAGAAAGGGGAAGGAAAGGCATTGGGAAGGGATAGAGAAAGAAAAGGGGAAGGAAAGGTGTTGGGAAGGGATGGAGAAAGAAAGGGGGAGGAAAGGCGTTGGGAAGGAGTGGAGAAAGAAAGGGGGCTACTTCCTTTATCTTACATATTATTAACATATCTCTTTCTTCTGGTTTGTTCCTTTCAGCAATATCTCTTTCTTCTGGTTTGTTCCTTTCAACATACAAGTCTCTCTCTCTCTCTCTCTTAACAAAGCCATCTCTTGTATTTTCTTCTTTCATTATTGCCCTTTGCTTCTGAATTACTGGAATGTATTATTTTATGCTTGCTGTTTGGACTTTCTCCTAGCTTGAACCTGGATGTCTTGCAAATTGGGTTCCTCTTCAGTCAACCAAAACACTTCTTATAAAGAGCACAAATGGTCTTTATAAGTATTGTCAAGTCAGAAAACTTATATGCCCCCCTGCCCCCCCTTTTGACATTTCTGTGGACTTCAACATAGTTGATCATACCCTTTTGCTGGGTTCCCTTATCAATTTAAGTATAAGTTACTCCACTCTACTTCTTAATTCTTGGGCTATTTGTTTGAGGTATCTATGGGAAGCTGTTTTATGTTTACTTTTCCTCTTACTATTTGGTCCCATGCTGCTTTCCCTTTAGATACTGTGTACGGTTCCACTTATTAGGCCCCATGGATTTCAATATTATACTGATGATACTCTATTTTTTCTGCCCCAGAATTTTCTTGAATTTTAAGTTTTTTATTTCAGCTCATATGCTCTATCACAAACTTAATCTGATTAAGGCTTGGTTGCTAATTATTTTTCTTCTAAAATGCCTCTTTTTCATGTTTTCTATAACTTTTTTTCACACGTTTTCTACAACTATCGACAATGTTACTATACATCCTGTGGAGAATGCAGTCTTGGGTTTTTTTTTCTGTTTCTGCTAATCTCTTCTGTGTCTCAAGTCTAGGCTACTTTTTAAAACCAGTCAATTTCGTCTTTAGAATATTGCCATAAATCAACTTTTTCTTTCTCTTGCTTCTGTGAAGACTTCAGTTCATGTTTATTTAGATGAATTTTATCTTTTTGGTTGATGTTTCACAAAGATATATTAGTCTTTTCGTTTCCATACAAAATTCTGCAGTGAACATAATGGTTTTGGCTTATCCTTCAGACTGTTGTTTTTTCCCTTCTAAATCCTCTTTATTGCCTTGCTGTCAGTTCCAGAACTCATTATAATCTCTGTGTTCCTACCTTATCATGGCTTGTCTCCTTTCTAACTTTTGGACCTGATTCCTTGCTAATAAGCCTAAACCTAGTTGTTCCCTCTATACCTTCAATTCCATATGGCTTACTTGTTCAAGTGTCTCTTGCTCTTAAATGTGCTTTTGTCCTTTGTCTTTCATTGCTCCATATGCTTGGAACCATCTTCCTGAATATTTGCTGGCAACTTCATCACTTGATATATTTAAATCTCTTCTAAAAACTTATTTTTTTCTGACTGAGGCTTTTGATTCTCTTTAGTTTTTATTATCATATGTAATAACATTTTTGTTTTTATTTGAATAATGAATCTTAGATTATTAGTTTACTTTGTACACTATGGTACGGTTATCATTCCCACCTTCTCCTACTATTTGTTCTCCTTTTGTTTCAGACTGTATGCCACTTGGAGTATAGATTTTTTTATTCAACTTTAATTTTTTGTACAGAGTCATATACATTGATGGTACTATATAAATAGATTACTGAAAACAATAACAATCTGTTTAAATACACTCCTTACACATAAGCTAGCACGAATATGAATCTATGTGGGTTTTTATTCATCTGCATGAAGTTACTTTCCCTCATACAATTTATTAAGAAATCACACTGCAGAAACAAATTTCCTGTACAATTTCTGGAGTTCTTAAATCTGACATCTGATTTCTCTAGTTGGCAGACTACAGTAGCAGATTTGTTAATGCAGTACTGAATACTGTTCTAGTGGTGGCAGCAATGCCAGATCTATATGGCATCTGGTACTGAATGAGTTCAAAACTGAAGCCCAGTTAAACAGCAGTAACAACTCCTAAGATTCAAGCTTGAAAATACTCTTGTTTGAAAGCAAAAACTGTACTGCTTTATCAAACTTTTCATTCATTGACTCATTTAATTACATGGGAAAGATACTGGCTAATCAGACTAAAGCAGACAGAATTCACAGGGAGATGCTCAGAGATGTCCATTCCAGTTACAGTGGCATAACAGATGAAACAAAAGTAGTGGAGGGGACAGCAATATAAAGGGGACAAATAACTAGAGATAGAGAGGAAATTTATATTTGTCTTTGACAGATGTGCATAAACATGCTTTAGTAAAAGGAACAGCTACATAACAAAGTGCATACATTAACAATACAAAACAAAGTGCATACATTAAGGAAGTGCTCATATAACAAAAATCTGTACATTATTAAAATATGTACAAATTTCTAAACAAGAGTAAAGAGCAAGAGCCCTGTCCAGTCATTACGAAAGCATCTAGAGCTCACACCTGTTGTGGAAGGTTCTCTAGCCACCCTCTCCCATTATTACTTTCAACATATAGACAGCAACACTGTGAAGAAAAGGGGGCTGCTCCCTCTATGACAAAATCAGGTTCTGCTGCCTATGGAGAAGCTAACCAGATAGTGCAGCCTACCCCTCTTCAAGACCATCATTTTCAAGCACTGAAAGCAACAATGAAGGGGGATAAGTCTACTGCACTCACTCAATATGTGTGGGCTCCACACACTTATATAATGAGTGAATAGGCCTGATACCCTACAATCCTATCCAAAGACAGGACTTGAAGCGCAGGTGGGTTTTGCAGAAAAGCAGTACAACTGGAGCAGATTTTCACATCCTTATTAACAGACCCTGGTGCTTAAGAAGGCAAAACAAAAGTGCTCCAGGAGCAGATTTTGGATCCCCAGGATAACAAGCACTCCTGTTTCTACGGTACACATATCACAGAACTGGGGACAATGCCAGCTCTATAGCTCAAATTATTTATATCACTCCCATTCAAGCAACAGGAGGGAAAAGTAAGATGACCTGCCCAAAGGAAAGCCCCATCCCTATACTTTCCTTTCTCCTGGTACAAGCCAGGCAAAGCACACAAATTGATGGTTTGTCCATCACAACTTCTCCTTTTCCTGCCTCTTCTAAATGGTTCTGTAAATGAATTACTATATTCACATAGGAATGTTGAAACACTACCTCTTTGGTGATGACTGGTAGTTCTGAAGCCAAACTCAGCCAGTGAGCAGCCATAGAGTTATCCCCCAGTTCTCTGTAGCACTGTAAGACAGAGGAAGACCCAGAAAAGCAAAGCAAGACAATATTTCATAGCATCAGTAAAAAACAGTTTCTCTTAAATACTAATACTGAACAACTGAATTGCTCCCTCAGAGCCTTTCCACAGCAAGATCATGCCTTAATACAGTATACTAAATGATACAGATATACGTACCTGGGTGTAAGCCCTTGTGAATGCAGGTAGAGAACGCCACAAATAGTATACAGCTGTAGAATTGCATTGCAGGTTGATTTCTAGCTTGTGGAGGTTTAAGCAACATTCCTTCATTTTAGAACTTTTCTCTATACATGTTCAGTTTTGCTCCAAGTATGTATATGAATTATTTTGAGCTGAACACAAGTACAAATGCTTAGAATATGTTTCAGTCTGAGATAAAAGATAGGGGGGATATGGAAGCATAGGTTTTATGCTGCCTAATGCCTCAACATTAAAATATGTGTTTAAAATATGGCTAAAAATTAAGGCAGAAGATATGTATAGGATAAAATACTAGAAACAACTTTTACATTTAAACATGAAGCAAATCTTATTGTTATTGCCAGCATTTGTCCGAAGACAATCTTTCCGTGGTCACATGGCCAGTGTGATTTAAAATATGTGTTTAAAATATGGCTAAAAATTAAGGCAGAAGATATGTATAGGATAAAATACTAGAAACAACTTTTACATTTAAACATGAAGCAAATCTTACTGTTATTTTTTTATTCTAGTAGAATTATATGTGGATGTAAAAGTACCCTCACGCTTTATGGAATTTTACCCTTCCCTAACCCTACCCATGTCCACTCCCCCAGCCCTCCATCCCCAAATCCTATCCCTACTGAAAATGGGGAAAAAATGTTTTTTAAGAAATGATGCAAATCAATCATTTCACTTTCAACTGTTCATATGTGGATCAGTTTTTATCGTAACTGGTCTTATGGGACAAATCTTACTTAAAAATAGACAATTATGGACAGTATACAGTATATTTTGTTAAAAGATATAAAGTACAGTGGTAACTCGACTTACAAACTTAATCCGTTTTGGAACGGCATTTGTACATCAAAAAATTCCTAAGTCAAAGTACCATTTTCCATTGAAATGCATGGGAATTGAATTAATCCGTTCCAGCATTTCAAAAAGGTCTCAAAGGGGTTTCCCCCCCGACATCGGAGTAAGCTGTTTGAGACCTCCGAAGGTGCCGATCGCTGGGGCAGGGACCCCCAGCCCTTTCTCCCTGCTTTTTTGCCTTCAGAGGTCTCAAATGGTTTCCTCCAATGTCGGGGGGAAAGCCCTCTGAGACCTGCGAAGCCATCAATCACTCTGTTCGCGAAAGCCCTCTGAGACCTGCGAAGCCATCGATCACTCTGTTCGCAAAAAATGGCACTAACTTGCAAATGGAGCCTTGACATCATAAATTCACAGAGACCATGAAGAAGAGAGGTTACTTACCTGTAACCATGGTTCTTCGAGTGGTACCCTATGAATCGACACGAATGGGTTAAACTGCACCTGCGCAGGACTCTTCGGAATATTCTAGAGCTTAACTAACTGACCAACAGAACATTTCCTCATGGCATGCATGCTCCGCCTGTCAGCAGTACCTCAGTTTCAAACGTCTGCCGCTGTCATGGCTCTGATAACTAAAAGCTATAGGCAAACCGTGATGGGCAGCGGAGAGGTTGGGCGATATGTGTGGATTCACAGAGTACCACTCGAAGAACCATGGTTACAGGTAAGTAACCTCTCTTCTTGTGGTCTCTGTGAATGCACATAAATGGGTGACTAGCAAGCTCACTTACTGGAAGGAGGGCCGTCATGGTAAAACTGAAGTCAGCACAGCCCTTCCAAAACTTGCTTCCTTTTTGGCTCTGACATCCAGCCTTTGTGTAGTGTGTCACAAAGGTCAATGGTGTAGACCAAGTAGCTGATCGACAGATATCAGAGAGTTCAATGCCACGTAGCCAGGCAGTAGAGCTAGCCATGGCTCTAGTAGAATGCGCTTTCAACACATCTGGTGGGGTCTTGCCAACCAGCTCATAGGCTAAAGCGATGGCAGAAACTATCCATCTGGAAACTGAGAAGAAATCGGGTGACCTTTCCGAGGCCCATGGAAGCAAACAAACAGTCTGGGACATTTGCGGAAATCCTTAGTCCTGGAAATATAAAAGGCCAAAGCCTGACAAACGTCAAGGGAATGGACCATGCACTCAACATCTGAAGAAGGGTTAGGAAATAACTTTGGGGGAATCGAAGGCTGATTAAAATGAAAATTCGAAATCACTTTAGGGAGGAATGAGATATCAGGATATCAGAGTGTTAGCCGCTCAGAGTGGTATAAATATACCAGATGGGCGGGATACAGATAGATAGCTAGATAGATAGATAGATAGATAGATAGCTAGATAGATAGATAGATAGATAGATAGCTAGATAGATAGATAGATAGATAGATAGCTAGATAGATAGATAGATAGATAGATAGCTAGATAGATAGATAGATAGATAGATAGCTAGATAGATAGATAGATAGATAGATAGCTAGATAGATAGATAGATAGATAGATAGCTAGATAGATAGATAGATAGATAGATAGCTAGATAGATAGATAGATAGATAGATAGCTAGATAGATAGATAGATAGATAGATAGAAGACAACCTTATCAGAGTGAAAATGTATATAGGGTGCATCAGCCTTTAGTGCAGCCAGCTCACTCGCCCTCTGTGCAGACATAATAGCCACCAAAAACAAAGTCTTTAGAGACAGAAGTTTTAGAGGAGTAGAAGCCACAGGCTCGAATGCTGTATGACGTGACACCAGACGTAGCCAACATTGTTGCTTACAGGTGAGCGTTGAGAGCAGCGGTCCTAGTTTCTTCAGGAGCAGCTTGAAGAACTGGCAGAATCTTACTCCATAATTGTCTCTGATAGGCACCCATAGCTGCCTAGTAGTTAGAGACCTCATTATAAATGAAGTCAGAGAGTATAGGCGACGGCCTAGCACATCTAGTTTACAGCCCTCCCTATTGGTAGGGGTGACCGTAAAACAATTTTCCACCCTTGATTGACTGGACTGCACAATAATGGACTTCATTGCAGGATGCTTATTGAGAAAGGCCGTATTGTTGCTATGTGTCCTGTAGTGGTTTTCAATACACCTAGAAATCTGAAGAGATACAGATGGTTGATTCCACGATTCCTTAATAAGGTTCAACATTGCTGGAATAAAAGCCAAACTCAAAGGAGGGGATTTATCTTGGTTTATATCATCAAATACAAGGTTCTGCTTGGGGTGAGGAGGTTGGTCTATGTCAAATTCCAATTACTTGGCCATGCGTGTGGAAACCTGAGAATATGATGTAAAGTCTTCGGAGGGAGATGGGGATGGATATCAGTGGTGTCCGAATCAGGTGTAGGTAAGTTTGAGGGGGATTCCCTGGATGCCTCAGAACGCGGGTCCTGCTCAGATACTGATGAAATTGAGGAACATCTGGAGTCTCTATCAAGAGACAAAAACAGTGAAGGTGAGTGATGGTGTGTTCTCGATATGGAGACTGAAGCTTGGGGTATCTCTATTTCAGGTGGATAAGTGCTCTTGAAGGCGCAGCCTGCCGAGATGACTGAGCGTGAGATGATTTCGAGTGTGATACTGAGGGTGACAGTATCGATGAGGCCCAAGAATGCTTCTCGGGAGTGTTTGTTGGTCTTGTTGCAGAAAATAGCACTTAGTAGCAAGCTTTGAAGTCATAGGATTGAGCTGGGAATAGGCTCGATGCCGATGTTGAGGTGGTGAGGGTGATGGAGATGATCCAGATGGGGAAGCATAAACATATCATACCCTCTTGGGCCTGACATAATCCCCGGTGTCATATAAGGGATCGAGATCGTCCCCATGGTACTGACGTCGACCACCATGCTGATCAATTTCTATGCAAAGTGGCTCCTCATACTCAGCAAAAGCATGACGCCGAGATAGACATGGGAGAACTGTAATGTCCCGATGTTGAGGGAGCTGTCAGACTCGAGAAATGTCAATGCTTTACAAGATGCTTACGCGGAGGTGATTGTTGTGGTGACATCTCCGAGTTTGACAACTGAATCACTGTTGCCCACCCGATTGATATAGGGCTCGAATGGGCTGAGGCCGGGCAGGAGATTACATCAGGCTCAGAATGACCATGAAACAGGCTCAGAATCAACATCGAAACCTGTGGCTGTGGCTGTGTCACAAAGCCATCCCCTTCAGAAAGTGGTTTGGGATCATGCAGTTCCCTGGAAGATTCCTTGAGTACTGGGGAGGGAGGGGGACTCGAACTGGAGGAGGTTCCTTAAGTTGAACAGACTTAGAAGGACGTTTGATCTTTTTATGTTTAACTACCTCTTCATCTTGGGATCTTTAACAGATGGTGCCTTCGATGCCGACCCCAATGTCAAAGATTTCTTCGACTTGAACAATTTTGAAGAAGTTCTGGAAGAAGGGGTAGCAGGTGCCAGCGAAGCAGTGGGATCAGAATGAGCAGCACGAGACATGGTTGGTTCCATGGCTGTCGAGCCTGACAGTGTTAACGACTTCTCCCAAAGATATGTAAGCGGAGATTCAGGGCAGGCTTGGTTAATTTTTTTACACTCTTGGCAAGAACTGGGCCTTTCTCCCAAACAGAATAAACAGCGGTTGTGGCTGTCCGTAAAAGGGATTTTGTTAGCACACTATGCACAGCATTTGAATTTGGCAGGAACAGGGAAAGATGGTGGCAAGGAAAGGGGAAAGACTCACAGGAAATGTTAACGATAGCAGTCCAGGATCAAAAACCGCAAAATCAAGCCGAGATGATTCAAATATAAGGTCCAAATCCGTAATCAAAATCACAAACGGTAACCATTCCAAAAGCCAAAACCCAGATAACAACGAGAGCTGATCCAAAATGCAATAGTCGAAAATCAGGTTAGTCCGTGTCGAAATATGCCAGATAAGATAAACACCGTAGTCAGAACCAGTCCGAGATCAAAACCAGAAATTTTAAAGAATAAGCTCTATGTGAAGCAAAGGAATCCGGTTGCAGCAGTGGCCAAAAGGAATTGAGGTACCGTGGGCGGCGCACCACAGGGAAACGTTCTATTGGTCAGTTAGTTAAGCTCTAGAATATTCCGAAGAGTCCTGCGCAGGCACAGTTTAACCCATTTGTGTGCATTCACAGATACCACAAAGAAGAAACCAACTATTGTGTGGATAGGGAAAGCTACATGGTTGCAGAACATCACCAGAAGAAGGGAATAGTAAACCAAGTAAGTTTTGTAAATGAATAATAATCTGATTTGGTATTAGGCAGTTTCATATGTTCATAATACTAAGCAACTCAAGCATACAAACTTGACATACATACAGTGAGCAAGCACATTCTGTTAGAAAGTCAGTGGCAAGCATTACTTACTTTGGCAATGTATACTCTTCCCATTTTTGAAAATCCAGGGCTCAGTTTTTCAGCCTATAAACCATATAAACAGAATATAGCAATTATAACAGGGCCAGGCTGTTTAGTTTAGTTCAGCCTGTGCAACACATATTATATAGAAACAGCCTATATTTCAACTATTAACTAAAATACTCCTTCCATTAATCTGTTTCTGCTATACTCAAACCATTCTAAGAAGCAGAGCTTTCAGCTATTTCTACATGCCTCTCACATGATTCAGTTGCCCTTGCCATCAGTCCATCTGCCTAGTAAGAAAAAATATTTGGAGGGCTAACCATATTAGTCTGTTACAGTCCTAGAGTGTCTATTAAGTATTTAAGGTATCACTATATGCTGTTTTAAAAAAACAGACCAAATGTATTAAAATAGACAGCAAAAGCTATGTATTAGTACGTATGCAAGAAAAAAGTTTAGCACTGCTTACTCGCCATCTGCTTGCAAAGAAAATAAAGTATATTCGTGCCATTAATGTGCTGTGCAATCACTGATATGCTGAGCTAGAATATCAAGGATCCAGGTTCAAACGCTTGACCAGATAGGCGGGATATAAATTAAATAAAACAAACAAACAAACAAACAAACAAACAAACTCCTGCTCAGCTATGAAGTTGGCTTTAGGATCATGGTCTTATCTCTTTCTCTCTCTCCCCTTCCATAACTAAAATTAGGGAGTTATGATTCAAGGCTAAAATGTCACTTGTACTATGGAACATAACTACCGCATAATAATAAAACCATTAAGCAGTTATTTAACTGACGTGACTGCTACAGTTAGAGCCCTATATAAAAGCAAACAAAGTAACTAATCTCGGCTGAATTTTTGGTGTTCTTCAAGATTTGTTGACTGCTACTGAAGTTTCACTGGGTCGTTCAACCATAAGCACAATACAGCAGATTTTACTATGCTTCACAGATGCTTTACAGTGTCACAAATCAATAAATGAAATTGCTGGAAATGTTTCAGTTGAAATTCTGTTTCTGTTCATGGTTTGTACAAAACTTCTGTACCAGTCAATTCACTGTTTAGCTCAATTATTCAAACCTGTAAGAAATTCTGTAGAGCATCCTGAACACTGGCAGTAGGAGGTTCTTCATACAAAGCAGAAGCAGTTTTCCTCTCCAACCACCCCAGATGAGACACCTGTGTCGGAACAATTAGATGCTTATTTTATCATTCAATATTATATGTTATCAAAACTGCAGCCCAGTTTGCCTCATCTAGAACTTGAGAACAGAGAATTAAAGGGAGAGAGTAGAGCAGACCTGGGCAAAGTGCGGCCCACAGGCCACATACGGCCCGCGAGTCGCTCCTGTCTGGCTGGCCCGTCGTTGTTGAGTGAGTCGGAGCTCCAGCTCTGGTCACCCAACACGGTAGTAAGCAAAACTCGCGAGATCCAACGCTGGGATCGTGCGAGTTTTGATTGGTACTCTTGAGCCGCAGGCTGCAGAGCCTGTGGCTCAAGAGGCCAGAAGCGATCCTTGCGCAGGCAATGTGATGACACATCATGTTGGCTGCATGGAATAGAAGACAGTCGGAGAGAAAGGCCACGATGGAATGGAGGACAGGTGAGTTAGCTCAGTGTTGGTTTTTTTCCCCCTTTTCCTCCCTGTGGTGAACGAATTACAATGCTCACATAGTTAACTCCCTAAAAAGTTTAGGGAGTTAACTATGTCGGCCTTGTAGTTCGTTCACCGCAGCGCCTCACCCAATGGGGGCCTATTACAATCATAACATCACTGTTTCATTTTATTTTTAAGTAAATTTGGTTCGGCCCCCGAACACAGTTCAGATTTTTCATTTGGCCCCCTATAGAAATTAATTGTCCACCCCTGGAGTAGAGGAAGGGCCATAGCTCACATACTTTGCATACACAAAATCTCAGGCTCAGCTCCCAATATCTCCAGGAAAGACAAGCAATAAGATTTAGGCTAGTGTGGACAATATGGAACCAGACCAATGATCTGAAGGAACATAAGGCAACTTCTTATATTCAGAAATCCTATTGCCCAGACATGCGACTGATTTAGTTTTAGTAGTAGTTGCTACTACTAAAAACCTAATTTACGTCAATAATTTTCTTGGTAAGTAAAATACATTGCCTTCAAATTTTCAACATCATCATAGCCTACTTCTGGTAATTATGTCAGCTGTTGTTGCTGTGTCATGTTTCCTGCTTTCTGGCTAACTATCTTACATGAGTATACTTATACTTTTTGAATGTTTGGTTTCCTTTTGGTAAACATTGTAGATAACCACACAATCAGATGACAGCAACTGTCACAGCTAAAATGGAAATTCCAATGGAACTGGCCTGTACTACAGAAAATGTTGATAAGGTTATTTTCTAAACAAGAAGGCTAGTCTTAACATTAGCACAGAAAACAGTATATTATCTATGGGGATCTGCCCTGGTAGAAAATCATACTTTTTCTATGGGTTCTGCCAGGGTTACAAATCCTATTAAATTACTATATATTTTGCTTAACTGGTGAAACTGGCTGCTTGCCCTGAAGTAACCTCTAACTGCAACATATTGTGGTTCAAATCTCAACTGAGCACAACCCCATTTTCAGGGTAACAATTCATATCCCCCCCCCCGGTGAGGCTGCCAGTGAGAGCAAGTCCCCTCTCATGGGAGTGCCGTCCCTCCACTTTGCCGACAAGGAGGTGCAAACACCCCCATTCCCTCTCCCAGGAAGATTAGTTTTGCTTAACTGGTGAAACTGGCTGCTTGCCCTGAAGTAACCTCTAACTGCAACATATTGTGGTTCAAATCTCAACTGAGCACAACCCCATTTTCAGGGTAACAATTCATATCCCCCCCCCCGGTGAGGCTGCCAGTGAGAGCAAGTCCCCTCTCATGGGAGTGCCGTCCCTCCACTTTGCCGACAAGGAGGTGCAAACACCCCCATTCCCTCTCCCAGGAAGATTAGATCACCTGAGCAAAGCCCAGGAAGCGTGGAGGAGGAATGTCCATTGGAGAAGGCAGGAATATTTTGGCGGGAAAAGAACGACAACCCCGGGTAGAAGTAGAGGTAGGGCTGGGGGATATAAAGAGGGGGAAGGACAGCTTGCCTCATGGTTGGGAGTGGACCTGTGGACTGGGAAGGTGGACAAGCGGAGGGTCCCAAGAGAAGAGGCAGATGCCAGGAGAAGAAGTGAGCTTACATCTAAGCCCTCTTATTGGGGGGAGCATGAGACGAAGGAGTGGAGGAAGAAGTTGAGGGAATTAAAAAAGAAGGTTGAGACGGAAAGGAGAGAGAGATTGGAAAAGCTGATGATGCAGCAGCAGCAGCAGAGAGGTCCTTCGGGAGACTTTGGCTAGACTGAGAATGCCTCCTCCCAGGACCCGATCTGGACAGATGACCGGGATGAAGACACAATACCCCTATTGGAGGGGGAGAATGGACAATTATTAAATGCAGACTGTACCCTGGAATGGCTGGGTCCCTGGAATACTCAGGAGACTAATCCATTCAAAGTTGAAGACTGGAAGCCCCCTCCTAACCCGTTGTTAGAGGGAGACAAATGGTTGGAATACGTTTGTAGAGATAGGCTGTTTGTTTAATAATCCAATAAATGTGACTCTTATTTTCAAACCAAGGAAGTCTGTCAATTTATTCAAAGAAAAAGTGGAGACAAGCTTCTAACCCTCATACCCCCTTGATCATTTTAACACTTTATTCATACAAAATTTCAAATTCTGACACCTATTGTTGATTACTGAAAGAAATGTGTGGTCTTTCTTTCCTAAGTATCAACCACTCAAAAACTAAGTTTTTGTTCAAGAGTTGTCAGTTTTAGAAACCAGTATTCTATACCAAATATATGAAAACTGATTGATTGTACCTAATGCTTTTGTTAGGCTACTGGCATTGGATGAAAAAAAGCAGAAGACTGAGAATGGGCAACCCAAGTTGCAAAACAGGACTAGCTTGTTATAGTAAGAGTGAGAGCTATTTGCTTTATGCATTATTTATTGAATTACTCCAATCCACCTATATAAAGAAATGTCAGAATGTGATATATTCAATAAGACAAAAAATAGTAATGATAAAAACAAGAAACCACAAAGAAATTGAACTTAAATCATCCACTTTGAGACGCAAAACCTATCTATAGAGATTAAGGCCTAAAAGTTGTGGTAAAAAGGTAAGTCTCAAATTTGTTGCTGAAATAAACCCCTAGCTGCCTTCAGGGCAGCAGGGGGGCATTTCCTGACTGGGACACCACAGCTGAGAAAGCTTTCGTTCATGTCTTCATGTAATAGATCACTCTTCTCTGGGATACAGCAAAGAAATCTTTTGGCAGATCATGATCTTAATCTTATACAGGGAGGCGCATTCCTTCAAGTACTGACATCCCAAGGCACCACACTTAGGGCTTGAGGAATCAACATCACTAATACTTTGAAAAATGTCCCAAAGGAAGCATACTACTGGCAGCCATGCAGTTCCTTTAATGATTTTTGTGAGATGTTTCTGATATCTAGTTGCTGCATTTTACTTTTAAAGCTAGATCATTGGATTTTTAACACTGATTTTTGTCTGTTTTCACATAAACAGTGATCTCTGATGCAACCCAATCCTCCTGCTTATTAGTCCCTCCATTTTAATTAAAACATTTCTTCTCCATTAAAGTTAAAATCACTCCAACATGTTTGATTCTTATCGACACACAAAACAGAGATTGATACCACTGGCTTCTATTATCCACCCCACTGAAAAACAGAAAGCAGATGGCACAGTTTGTGATAAAGAAGCAAAAGAAAAACACATGCAAAGGATTATACAGATACACTGCACGCAGGAGGCCTGGCGCATGCCACAATATCCATAATCACATCCATGTGTGTTTGAAAGATTAGAGAAAGGCTGTTTTTACTAGAAGAAAAAATGTGGTGAAAGTGAAAGCACAAGTTAGCTTGCAATTTGGGCTTTGCTTTTATGACCCCTCTATGTCCATGTCCTTTGCCCCCTACCATAGCACTAAATCAGAAGCTTAACAGTACCTAGAATTTTGAGTTGTTCACTACTTGGAAGACCTGCTTTCAGCAAAATATTTTTTTTTCATTTTTAGAAGAAAGGGCAGAAATAAAAAAAGCTTCAAAGAAAAAGGCCTTGAAAATGTTGAAACTCATCATAGGCATCCTTCAGTCTTGAGAGACTACGGTAACGTGCTCTGTATGGAGGACATTGATGCTGTATGTGAAGCTGGAGTGTCCTCTCCAGAGCACGAAGCCTGGGTAAAATACAGTGGTGCCCCGCTTGACGACGATAATCCATTCCAGGAAAATCACTTAAGCGATATTGTTGTCAAGCGAAAAAAAACCCATTGGAATGCACTGAAAACCGGTCAATGCGTTCCAATGGGGGAAATACCTCATCGTCCAGCGAAGATTGCCCATAGAGAACTGCCGATCAGCTGTTCAAAATCGCAGCAATGCGAAGCTTCCCTCCGGAAAGCAGCCATTTTGAGAAGAGAGGGAAGCCATTTTGTGGAACCAGAAAAATCATCGTATAGCAAACAAATGGTTCACGAAGCAGGCTCCTAATCAACGTAATAGGGATTTCCCCCATAGGAACCATTGGTTTGCAATCACAATAGTGATCGCAAAAATGTCATCGTTAAGCGATTTCGACATCATGCAGCATAAACGTATAGCGGGGCACCACTGTAATATGGAGGATAGGCTGTTACCCAAGCAGCATATCGCCCCTCTCCACATCGCTGAAATAGTCCAATGGAAAGGCAAGAGCCAATACAACTGGTTCCAGCGATGTCGCAGGAGTTGCCAGAACGACAGGAACTGCGCCTCTGGGACTCCAGCTCTGGATTTTGCACAAGATTTACTCCTGAAGCCTTTTCTATCAGTGGATATAGCCACAAGGCAGGGGAGGCTTGAAACTGGAGTTTTCCTTCTCCTAGATGGGCTGCCTTCCCAGGCTGACGAGCCCCACCTACCTGGGCTGCACCCTCGCCGCATGGGTGGAGGCGGCGCCTCTTCTTTCTCCTCACAGCATGGGGGTTTGGGACCAGAGTTTTCCTTCTCCTAGATGGGCTGCCTCAGTTTTACAAAACTGTTCTTAATTCTTAGTACAGTTCTGTTTATTACAGTGGTGCCTTGACTTACGAACTTA